GGGCCCTATAGCGAAAACCTCTCTCTCTCTAAAAAAAAAAAAAAAAAAAAATTGCGTACCCCTGATCTTGCCTTAACTCCAGTCTAAGTAAGTTTCAGAGGGAGAAAAATCCTGAGATGATAAGCAGTTACTTTGGCTATTCTGGGCTCTTACATGTAGGAAAGTCTCTTCAAAGGCACAAGGTTTCTCCCTTAGAACTGAAGCATTACCCACCCCCGGAGAGGAACACGGGCCAGATGGCTATGCTGTTTCACTTCCCTGCTTCCAAGAGCTCAAACCATTTGCCTATGATGCTTTCCCCCACCTGCTTCCTGGGTTGATGCAATTATTCTGGAAACGTATGTCAGCTCTCCCTATAGCTGCAATGCAGTCTTGGTTCAGAGAACATAAAATGTCTTATTTCTGTGGGCAGATGTAACTAGTAAGGTGCTTCTCAAAGGTAGTCAGAGTATCTAACATAATCAATGAGAACACAAGTCAATGGCTTAGGACCATCACTGATTCTGACAAACAAGTTACATGCCTTTAATTTCAAATGTGATCCTAGAAGAAATGAAAAAGAATTACTTGACTTCCAAGTTGACAGTGTAATAAAACAACCACGTGAGGCTTCCCGTAAGTTACCAGAGCTGATGACACAGCCCCCAAAGGTTGTTCAGTATAACGTAACCGCAGCACTCTCAAGGTTTGTTTTTCTTAGTTATACCAAGGCCTTCATAATTAGCAATGAACACTGGATTTGGGTGGGGAGGCAGCTGTTCTAGATTTGAAGGGGCTGACTGCAGAGCACCTCGCTGTGACCTGTAAGGCACATGAGCAAGGCTGGCATTAGCATCGTTGTATTTGCTAAGTCTGCACACCTCACGACTGATTCACCAGATGTGGGAGAAGAACCCGGGAATCTGCATTTTTTATTTTCTCACAGGGCCAGGAGGTGGAATGGAGATTAAGGCATTGGATCCCATATGGCTGATAGTGAGGTTCAAATCATGGACCAAGTGACCTGAAAATCACACTAGGCATGTGTATGCCCAAAATCTCAAGTGAGGTCTGGAGAAGGGACTGTGGCCTGGCCATCCCTGAGGCATAGTTTCTCACTTTCTCTTTTTCTGTCTGCAGAGTGCATGTGCCCTTTAGCAAAAACTTAGAGGAAAGAGAATAAAAAGGAAAAAAACCTCTCTCTGTGATTTTAATGCAGTGTCAGATGAGAACCACTGAATTACAGATACTGGACCTAGAAACATATCCAGTAGTCAGTCAGTTGTATTCAGAGAGGAGTACAATAACTCAGATGGAAAACAGACCCTTGACTACAAAGTTTCATTTATGCAGAGCTGTGCCTCTAATCCAGTCATGGTTAAGCCCTAGGTTTGATCAGGACTCATACATATATTTAAGAAAAGAGATTCAGGGCCTGCAGTTTAGACCGCTACATGGCCAACTATGATTCGAGCCTCCGACAGCTTTCTCACTCTCCAGTGAGAGCATTTATCCTACAGCAAATTTTAAAAAATAGCAGTTAGGGGTTAGCAGGTGGTATGGTGGCTAATGCACTGGACTCCCACATGGTTGACTGCGGTTTGAGTCCTGGATCCGGTGGCTTGCTTTCTCTCTCTCTCTCTCTCTGCCTCTCTCTAGTGAAGCTGAATAAAAAATTCTTTAAAAATAATAAATAAAATAATTCTAAAAATAAAACAATTAAAATCAACCCCTTTTGCTATTTCTTAAATGGTAGATGGTTACCTAGCAGTCTCACAGAATGGGGGCTTCTACTCAGTCCTAAAGCCCCCTATCTGAGCTACTTTAATAATGCTGTCTGCCAGTCAGAAGGTCTTCATTAAAACTTTAGAGAAGAAAATCATTAAGTTGGGCATCTATACCTTTGTAATGTTGAATCAAATGTGAGGAAAATGGAAGAGGAGAGAACCTAAAAGACCAAGGTTATAATTTAAACCGTAAAATAGGGAAGCTTCCTCCAGATGCCCAATTAATACCAGATGACCTGCAGTTTGGGAAATCTGGGTTCTCCGAGTCTTGTTCTCCAGGTGCACAGCTGGGATTACCTTATATCTTCCTCTATCTTTGCCTGAGCTTCGAGATCAAAAGGGTCAGCAGAAAAGAGACGAATCCTTTCTTGCTCTCTCCGGGCTCGATCCTGCTGCTGCTCCACCAGGACCCTGGAAAACTTCTCTACAACAATAAGGGTGAAAAATCTTAAGTACTCCTATATTTCCATTCTTTGTCAGTCCTTTTCCATATCAAACAATTTCTCAAAATACAACTACACAAGATGTAGAGAGGATCACTAAAATTTATCTGAGGGGCCAGAGTGGGACACAGCAGAAGCGATGTTCTACAAGGTAATCTCACATGGGAGGGTTCCAGTTCAAGCTCACAGACCTCTCTGAGTATACTGGGTACACTCTTGCCCATGATCTAGGGCTGGCTGAAGGACAGGCATGGATTGCAGTGTTAAGACCCTATTGGGGAGACCAGCAGTTGGCTATGTCACTGGACTCCCATGTAGTTGACTGCGGTTCAAGTCCTGGACCCGGTAGCTTAAACTCACACCGGGCACGTGTGCATGCGTGCCCAAGATCCCGAGACGAGAATGGAGGAGAAGGAATTATGGTGTGGCCATCCCGCCTATGGGGTGATTTCTCACTTTCCATTTCTGTCTCTCTCTTTCTGCGAGTGAACACACCCTATAGCAAAAACCACTCCAAAAAAAAAGAAAAAAAAAAAAAAAAAAAAAAACCGTTTTGGGGAACCTTTTTCCCTCTTTCCCCCATGCATACATGCTCACGGAAAAAAAAAAAATTAAGTAATTTAGGCCAGCTAGTGGTATGGTGTTTATGGCAAGTGGACTCTACATAGCCAACTACAGTTTGAGTCCTGGACTCAGTTGCTTGAAAAACATGTTAGGGGTGTGTACCTGTACTTAAAATCCCAAAAGGGAAGAAAAATGGAAGAGAAGGGATTGACTGCAATATGACCATTCCCCAGGGGAGATGCTTTTGCACTGCCCCCATCCCACATCTCTTTCCGGGAAAAGTGCATGTACCCTCTGGCAAAATTGAAGGGGAAAAAAAAAGTAACTAAGGGCGTTGGAGACTGGTCCAAAGTAAGTAGTTAAGCAAAGTAGTTAAGTGCTGAGCACACAGAGCCAGGTCCCACATGGCTGACCTAAGTTCAACTCCTGGCCCTAGCAGTTTGGAAAACATTCTAGGCATTGTTTGTGTATGTGCCCCAAATTCATTCTTTCTTCTTCTTCTTTTTAAAGAATTATTTATTTAACTTTATTTGTTTTATTTGGCCAGGGAGACAGAGGAAAAGTGAGAAAGCAAGCTGCCAAGTTTGACACTTGAACTTTAGCAGACCATGTGGGAGTCCAGTGTCTTAACCACTATGCTACCTGCTGGCCCTATGTGTGCCCAAAATTCTGATGGAATGGAGAAATAGAGGAAAAATGACTGGGGCACAACAGTGCTCCACTAGGGAGGTTCTCTCTGTCAAGCTCATGCACCCTATGGCTATAAAAAATTAGTATAATAATCTGAAATGAGTAATTACATTTACTTTCTCTTCTCTAGCCAAGAGTATTTCCTTATTTAAATTCAGTGTAAAGGAATAAAATATAAAAAGAAAAAAATGTTTAGTTTTTTTGCCTTAGGGTGCATGTGTTTGCCAGAGAGACAGAGATAGTGAGAGGGAAAATGAGAAAGCATCTGTCTGAGAGGGGATGGCCACACCACAGTCCCTTTCCTTCCATTCTCCTCCCAGGATCTTGGATACACACGCACATGTGCCCAGTATGAATTTCAAATGACTGGTTCCAGGACTCAAACCAAGGTCAACCATGTAAGGTCCAGCTATGTAACCACTACACTGTCTGCTGGCCTCTCAATTTTTTTTTTCAGTTTATTTTCACTTATGAAAGAAAGTATGTGTTCATGCATGAAGTGGGGAGAGAGAGAGAGAGAGAGGGAAGAGACTAGGTAACCCTTAAAGGGGCCTTGTCATGCTGCAATCTGTCTTCCTCTAATGCTCCATCTCCTGGGCATGCATGCAAGCCTTGAGTGAAGCTGACAGATACGGAACTTGAACCTCAGTGGGTCACATGGGATATGGCTTCCTCTGCACGGGCCTAACCACTGTGTGATGGGGACAATCCAAAACATCTTATTCTTTTAAGAAGTTCCCCATCCATCATATTGCTTCTACGCAGAGATAACGACTCTCTAACCTAAATCAGTAAGAAATGACCACCTATGAGACAGGTAAGTGTCCTCACTCTGTCTCCCAACTGCCCTCACCGCCCTATTACCCAAAAAACAAAGAGAGCCCTCTACAATCCCCCTTTTATCTTCTAATTTTATTTCCTTTATGACACACTGCCTTAAATCAGATAAGTCCAAACTACTGTTAGTCTACCCATACTTTCTGTGTCCTGATGGATTTAGGCAGACAACTTAGTACAGAAAAAAACATTACTTGCTATTATATACACATATTTTTTTAAAAAGAATTATTTTATTTAACTTTATTTATTTTTAATTTGACCAGAGAGGGACAGAGCAAGAGCATGAGAGAGAGAGAGAGAGAGAGAGAGAAAGTGAGAAAGCAAGCTGCCAGTTCCGGGACTCAAACCACTGTCAGCCATGTGGCAGTCTAGCATCCCCAACCACCACATCACCTGCTGGACCAACAATATATATAAGAATCTATTTTCTATTTCTTATATGGTAGTACATTTAAAAAAAAAGTATTTATCATTATTTATCAATCTGACCACAGAAAGAGACAGAGAGAGAACCACAGTTGGCTGTGTGGGAGTCAGTCCAGCACCTTTAACCACCACACCATCTGCCAGCCCTAGATGGTAGTATATTTAAGTGTCATCATCACAGTCTCTGGGAATTAGATAAGCTCATATACGCAATTAAAGAAACCAAGAAAAGGGGTCAGCAGGTGGCAAAGTGCTTAAGGCTGGACTCCCATGTGGTTCGAGTGTCGAGCCATTGACTTGAAATTCATGCCAAGCATGTGCATGCATGCCCAAGATCCTGAGAGGAGAATGAAGAAGGGACTGCAGCATGGTCATCCCCCCAACAGATCATTTCTTGACTTTTGTCTATCTCTCCGGCGAGCACACACACCCTACAGCAAAATTCTCTCAAAAGAAAGAAATCAAGACAATGGTCAAGTGAACTTCTAATGTATGTAAGACAGATGAATGAATAAGGTGAATGAAAGAAGCCCGACAGAACAGAGTATATACTGTACACGTGAAGTTCAAAACAGGCAAAACTACCCCACGATAACCACTAGAACAGTGGCAGTCTATGAGGAGAGGAAACTGACTACAAGGAAACACAGTGGAACTTCCTGGCTGAGAGAAACATTTCTTGATTGAGGTTCGATGATATTGTCAAAACTCAAAGAACTATATACTTAAATCTGTGTACTTCTTGGTAGGTAAATATTACCTGTAGGTAAAAAATGGTCCACTGAGGCAGAAGCTAGTAAGGGTTTGTTTCATTTTTTAAAATGTAATCAGCACAGCCTCATAAAACCAAGAGTAAAATGGGAGAACTGGTGGTGAAAATTTTATTCATAAAGATGACTAGAAGTAAACGTTCTCTTTTTTTTTATAATTCTTTTAAGAATTATTTATTTAATTTATTCTTTTTTTTTTTTTTTTTTTTTTTTTAGAAATTTGAGCAGAGAGAGATGAGAGAGAGAGAAAGAGAGAGAGCGAGCGAGCAAAGGAAAGTTAGAAGGCAAGCCACCAGACCCAGGACTTGAACCGTGGTCAGCCATGTGGGAGTGTCCAGCACCTTAACCACCACACCACCTGCTGGTCCCGTAAACGTTCTCTTATTAAAATGAATGGCTCAAATGCAACTCCAAACTTGACAACCCTACTATCACCTAAATTTGGCATAGATGAGGACAAAGCAGCTCCATTTTGCCACACAGATTGATAATCTCTTTAACTGAAAATCTAATTAAATGAGATAAAAAAAAATCAGTATCTGGGTTATGCACAAAACAAGAAAATATAAAAAGTAAACTGATGGGGTTGGTCTAGATGGATTTCAGTCCTAAAATTCTATTGCTATTGACAAGTAAGTGAACTTCTGACGTTGGCATTCATTTCCCTCTCACAAACAACTCACTGACGTGTTTAACAGATCATGTGACAGAGGGATAAATTCACCAGTTGCATGAGTCTCTTCACATTTGCTGTGACACAATTATTTTACTGCAGGGCAGCTTGACAGCTTTCCAAAGTCATGAGCTTACCAAGATCTCCGCTGAGCAGAGCTTCTGCCAGAGGTGGATTGCGTTCCTTCAGCAAGGACAGCTCATGTGGGTTGGCCAGCAACATGTCTCGGAGCAAGGCTGGATTGTCCAAACCCTGGGGAGATGAAGCAATTTCTCCAGGAGATGAGTGGGACTGCTGTGCTCCTGGTGGCTGGCGCTGCCGGGGGCTGGACGTGCCAGGCACAGCTATACTACTGAAGTCTATTCGGGGTAAATCTGTGGAGGAAATCAATCCAAAGTTTACTCAAACGACTCCATAAAAACAGGCATCTAAAGGTAACAGCAGAACGCTTACTCATACGCACTACAAATGGCTAGCAAATGATAATGGTAGACGCTCTACTGCCTTTCCCTCGCGCTTTCTCACCCTCACTGAACATAAAGACTGCAGTCCAACAGTGCATAGATAGAAAATAATAGAAAGGGACTAGCAAATGGTATAAAGGTTGCGTTGATGGACTCCCACAAGGCTGACCATGGTTCGAGTCCCAGACCTGGTGGCTTAAAACATGCCAGGTGCATGTAGGTGTGTGCCCAAATCCCAAGAGCAGAATGGAGAAGAGACTGCAGTGCGGTCATCCTCCAGGAGTAATTTCTTGCTTTTCATCTCTGTCTCTCCAGTGAACACACTTGCCCTACAGAAAAAATCTCCTCCCACAAAAAAGAACAGAAAAGGAAAGGCAGATAATGGTAGTAACCCCAAACTCATAAAACATTCCATAATAGATATTATCTTTTTACTTATTTTTATGTTTTTGCCATAAGGTACATGCACTTGCCAGAGAGACAGAGAGGGAAAGTGAGAAATCACTCCCCAGTGGGGATGGCTATGTTCAATCCCTTCTCTTTTCTCTTCTTGGGATTTTGGGCATGCATGCACATGGACCTGGTGTGACTTTAAAGCTCCAGGACACCTGCAGGCCCTTATCTGTTTATGCTTTTAAAAACAGCTAGTCTCGGGACCAGCAGATGGCATAATGGTTACATCGCGGGACTCCCATGTAGTCAACCATGGTTTGAGTCCGGACTTGATGGCTTAAAACTCACACCGGGTGCGTGTGTGTGCATGCCCAAGATTCTGAGAGGAGAGCGGAGAAAAGACTGTAGTGTGGCCCTTCCCCTCCTGTGTGTGTGTGGGGGGGGGGAGGGAGAGGGGGTGAATTCTTGCTTTCTGTCTCTCATCTCTCCAGCAGATGGCGTAATGGTTATGCTGCTGGACTCCCACATAGTCGACCATGGTTTGAGTCCCTGGACCCGGTGGTTTAAAACTCATTCCTGGCATGTGTGCATGTATGCCCAAAATCCCAAGAGGAGAATGGAGGAGAAGGGTTGGTGGCATGGCATCCCCCCAGGGGGTGATTTCTCACTTTCTCTCTGTCTCTCCGTTGAGTGCATGCACCCTATAGCAAAAATCTCTCTAAATCAAAACAAAACAAAAGAACAGCTAGTCTCTGGGCTAGCAGGTAGTATGGAGGACAAAGTGGCTGGACCTCACATGGTCAACAGCACAGTTTAAGTCTTGAACCTTGAAAAAAAAAAATCACAGCAGGTGTGTATGCATGCATGCCTAAAATTCTGAGAGAAGAATGTAAGAGAATGGACTGCAGAGTGCCCATGCCCCCTGGGGAATGACTTCTCACCTTTCTCTCTCTGGCAAGCAAACATGCTCTATAGCAGAATTAAAACAAGAACAGTTAGTCTCAATAAATGTGATTACATAAATCTGAATGTGGTTCTTGAGAAAAATCCTGGTCTGACATTAGATTCAAAGAGTCCTAACACTTGGCAAAGAGTACTATTCCTATCAAGTGAACATCTAAGTGCTAGATGTTAAATTCTGCAAGACCATGCTAACTAAACATGTTGTTTTGGGGAGGTTCTTAAATAGTGCTTTGAATTTACACTTTCACCTGTGCATTGCTGCTAACTCTTCTTATGCCCCTAAGGGACTAGCACGTGTACTTCCTATAGGAGAGAAAAACAGAAAAGGGATTCTCACAGATTCTGAGTGCTGAGTACACCAAAAGCTCTGCTCAGTCTACAGGCTGTAACTCCAAAGTGCTGTACTTCAGCCTAGCTGACCAATAAAATGAAAGTAAAAGAGGACCTCAATCCTAAAATGAAGAAGACACATACTGTATGATGTATGACTCCATTTATTCTATTGGGTCATGGAAAAGTCATGATGTAGTTTTATATTCTTGCATGCAAAAATGCGTCATGACTTTTCCTGTGACCAAATACATGCAACGTCCAGGAGAGGTAAATACACAGACAGAAAGTAGAATTTTGTTTGTCTAGGACTGGGGGACCTACGGGGAAATGGAGTTTCTTTTTAAGGTGATGAAAATGTGCCTAAATTGCTTGTTGTGACACCTACACAACTCTGTGGATACACTAAAAACACTGAATTGTGGGCTGGCAGGTGGCACAGTGGTTAAGGCGCTGGACTCCTACATGGCCAACTGCAGTCTGGGTCCAGACCTGACACCTTGCTTTCTCAACCCGCTACTCTGTCCCTCTTTGGTCAAATTAAAATAAATAAAGTCAAATAAAAATAATTCTTAAAAAAAAAAAAAAACACACACACAAAAACAAAAACGCACTGAATTGTATCCTTTTTTTTTAAAAGAGGTTTTTGCCATAAGGGGTGTGTGCTAGCTGGAGATTGAGAGAGAGAGAGAGAGACAGAGACAGTGAGAGAGAAAGTGAGAAGAGTGAATGGCCACGCTGCAGTCCCCTCGCCTCCTTTCCTCCTGGGATCTTGGGCATGCACGTACAGAGCATGATTTTCGAGCCCCTGGGTCTGGGGCTAGAACTGTGGTCAGCCCTGTGGGAATCCAGAGATGTAACCACTTATGCAATCTGCTGGTCCCGAACTGTGCCTTTTAAATGGGAAAGCTGTACAATATGTGAATTATATCTCAATAAAACTGTTACTAAAAAAAGAAAGGGACAGTGGTTAAACCCTGTGCACAGGAAGCCGCATCCCAAATAACAGGCTATGGCTTGAATTCAGGCCCTGGCAGTTTGACAAACAAGCCAGGCTCATGTCCATGCATGCCCACAATCCTGAGAGGATGGAGAAACAGAGGAAAAAAGACTGTGGAGGAAAAGACCATGTCCCATCGACGGGTGCTTTCTCTCTCTTAGGCAATTTAAAAGAAAAAGAAGAAAAAAAAGAGAAAGGTAAACAGGTAGTCAGAGTGAGAGTCTAGACCAGAGTAATCCACACTTCAACCCTAAAAATATATCTGAGGCCAAACTTGTCTCAAGGCTGGGGCTACCCTAAAGCTGTTCCACAACTGAAAAAAGAACTGCTTAACTCAAGCAGTAAGGTCTCTGCCTATAGTGTGGGTTCAACTAGCCACTTTCCTCAGAGACTGTAGTCGGCAGTGAGTAAGTATGTGTTCGTGCACGCAGATAACCCTCAATAAGCGAACAGATGAAGCGAGTGGCACGATCTCTGAGGCAGTTAATCTAGGCCAGCTCGCAACACATACAGGGGTGAGCGATCTTGATGGAGAAACTTTATCTCCAGCCCTGTTACATGTTATCTTGAGAGTCCATGCACTTCAGAGCAATTTTGAAAAACTTGTTTAGATCAGATTTCCTCCCACTCTCCCTCAACCTATCTGCTCTCTTATAGGTATGAATAGTAGGGGGGAAAAACAAACAAAACTAACAACTGCAGCAAATTAACCAAAAGAAGGGTTTTAATTGACTGGCCTATCTGAACCAGTACTCTTTTTAAAATTTAGCAGCAGCCCCAAGGGACTAATGAAATGTATCTGGTATGGCCAGCACCTGATAGACTTACACAGCCCCCATTTCAGGCTGAATGGAAGCACTGTGCTCTAAGTTGGAGTCTGCCGTCAGCCAGACACATATCATCTGTTAACTTTAAAGCCAGGTGAGATAGAGGCTAAACAATGTTTAAAGAAATCTACCAGAATAAGGTAAGGAGTAGGAAAAAAACCCACAAACACATTTTACCAAGTAATTTCACACATTAGGTCCTTAAAAACTTGGGCTTAGCAGGTGGCTTGGTGGTTAAGGCGCTCTACTCTTACATGGCTGACCACGGTCCAAGTCCTAGGCCAGCAGCTTGAAAATCATGCTGGGTACATGGATGAACATGCCCAAATCCTAGCAGGAGACTGGACAAGGGACTACGGCACTGCCATGTCCCCTGGGTGATTTCTTTCTCTCTCTCTCTCTCTCTAGCCAGTGCACACGCCCTATGGCAAAAACTTAAAATATAAATAACTTCTTTCTGTGAATCAGGCCACCCATGGCATTGTGGTTAAGGCAATTAGATCCCACATGGCCAACTGTATGATGTGTGTCCCAGGCCCTGCACCTTGAAAACATGTCAGACACGTGTGTCTGTGTGCCCAAAATCCCAACAGGAAAATGGAGATGGGACTGTAGCATAGCCAACCTCACAAGGAGTGCTTTCTCATTCCTCTCCTCTCTGGCAAGAGCCATGTGCCCTACAGAAAAACAAAAACAAAAAACTTTTGGCTTATGAACTTCTAAGAGTGCCTGAAGAAAGCTATAGACTTGCTTCCCAACAAATGCACACACGCCTCTACCTACACAATTCTGTGCACTGTTTCAAGAATGCGACACAGAAACCTCCTAAATTCCAACGTACTAGGTTCCAAGCTATGTTGTACTTTTCCCTGTTTCTACCTAAAGAACAGTCTGTGAAGAAATCACTTAACATCTGAACTTCATCTGTTAATAATAAAAAATCATAAAGAGGGATCTTGTGAAATGTGGGTGCCAAGTACGTGGCCGACTATAAAATGTTCCACAAAGGCTGATCACTGAAGTACAGACACTGTTACAAAAGTGAGCATGAGGGTCCAGCCAAAAAGATCATTCTAGGGGTCAGCAGGTGTCATGGTGGTTAAGGCTCTGAACTCCCACATGGTCAATGGCAATTTGAGTCCCAGACCCAGAAACTTCAATCTCACTTTGGACACAGATGTGCACACGCACAAAATCCCAAGAGGAGAATGGAAGAGAAGGATTGAGGCATGGCTATCCTCCAAGCAGGTGATTTCTCACTTTCTCTCTGTGTCTCTGGGGATCATATGTTCCCTATAGCAAAAAGCTCTCTCTAAAAAAACATGAGCATGAATTTTAAGTTTACGTAGTCTCTAAAGTACTTCCCAAAGATAAAGATTCTTATATTATTATCATTAATTAACAGAAGCTAACACTTATTTAGGGCTTGAATTATTCTCATGTCAACTCTAGGAGCTGGGGTTAGTTATGGCATTTACCTTACAGAAGAAACCTATGTAGGAAAGTTAAAGTTAAGTTGTCCAGGATGTGTATGGTAGGAGTAAGAATCCAAAGTGGATCCATATAAACCATATGCCCTGCTACCAACGGGTGCTTTTGTTACGGAAACCTAAACCAAGTGATCTTACTTGGGAATTGCACTGAAGGTCGAGGGTCTGCATTCTCCTTCTGTCGTAGTATTACGACATCTCCATCTTTCAAGCCGTAAGAAGCCAGTGATCTGTGGTTGTCTGTGAGAGGTCTTTCAGCATAGACAATCTATAACAAGAAAAGATTTAACAGTATAAAACACCAAGAGATAACATAGCACAAAGCAGAAAGACCATAGTTCTCTTAACCACATAATGTCATTCCCTATTTGAAACCCTCCAATGGATTCCCATCACACCTAGAATAAAACCCCCAATATTTCCCATCGCCTACCAGGCAGTCTCAAGTCATTTAGACCCTGGCTCCCCTCTGATCTCACCTCATACCGTGACTGTAGTTCCCCAAATAACAGGGAAGTCATTTCCCAACAGGGTCGTTGCACTTCTCTCTACGTGAGGAGTGATCTAACGTTACCCCTTCAGAGCCGTTCCTTAATACCCTATTTAAGTTACCTAACATACTATGTATTTATTGGCTTGTTTATGGTCTTTCTGCTCCACTAAAATGTGAGCTACTTTAGGATAAGGACTCTTGCGTTTGTCTACAAACGCTTAAAACAGGGCCTGATAAAACAGCTGATGCTTGTATATTTTTTGAATTAAAGTATGAATGAATTTTGAAAGTAATTTTGAGCAGGAAGGGAAATGGGAATGATTTGCTCCGGGAACACTAACTACAACACAGCCACACCTCCTGTAACAATCCACCTGTTTAAGAACCACTGGGATCGGAAACTAGCAGTTAGCGTAATGGCTATGTCACTGGATTCCCACGTAGTTGACTGTGGTTCGCGTCCTGGACCCGGTGGCTTAAAACTCCTGTTGGGCGCGTGTGTGTGCGTGCCCAAGATCCTGAGAGGAGAATGGAGGAGAAGGGATTGTGGCGTGACCATCCCCCCTGGGGGGTGATTTCTCGCTTTCTGTCTCTATGTCTGTCTCTGTCTGTATGGTGAGTGCACGTGCCCTATAGCGAAAACCTCTCCCCCCCAAAAAAAGAACCACTGGGACTGGGACCGGCGGCCAGTTATCTGGCATGGGACTCCCCCTTTTCAGTCTTTGCCGAGTTCCCAGTCAGTCAGTATTCACGACACAAAGTTTTCACAATCACGCAAGACTACACATTTCATTTATAAATTTCCTACTTTATTGCGCACTCACTGTCTCAAAATACATAAAAACGATTATGCTGGATTCACATTATTGTGCTGTGTCACCCTCTGGAACTTATCTAATATATGCTTTTTGCATGGACAGAATTACATTATTCTAGTGTGGTGTTGCATGACATCTACTGAAAATTACGTACCCCACAGCCATGACACACCACAAGACATACAGCTCTAACACTTACTGACCAATTGGCTCAACAACTTAGTTAGTTGCAGGAAAGGGACTTGGTCATTAAGTGAAAAGTGCATGTACTACTAAGTGTGTACTATAAAAAAAAAAACACACAATATTTTATTATTATTATTATTACTTTTAATTTGACAGGGGTGGAGGTGAGAAAGCAAGCCACTAAGTCCAGGACTTGAACCATAGTCTGCCATGTGGGAGTCCAGCGCATTAACCACCATGTCACCTGCCAGCCCCAAATAATGTGTACACCTTGCACATTGGTAAATATAAAAAGTTCCCAAATACCACCTTTTCCTGCATTCTTCCTTTTCTTCTATCATCTCTAAAATTTTTCATGTTTATGAGTGGAAAGTAGTATCAAAGAAACTCAGAAAAGAACAATTAAACAAGGCAGATAAAAAGGCTCAGGGACATAATACTAATAAAAATACTTTTTACGATGTGCAATCAAACACTGAAGAAAACCTGGGAGCACAAAAACTGATCAAAGAATGTGTTGTGAAAAGAAAAGAAAGGAACACACAAAGGCATACTGATTTTACCAGGAAGGAACATAAAATCTACCCTGTGTTATTGTATACTCCAGAGGGGCACTGAGAAAAAAACTCAGACTTTAAAAGGTTTTTTCTTCCTAACAATTCACTTTGCACCAGACCACATGCAAACTGGGGAACCTGAGTTCTGTCCTGGCTCTACCAACAGTTCCAGTGTGGGAATGCCACTCAACTGGCCCAGACCACACATTTCCCATGTGTCAAGAGGCAGCTGGGGCTAGATAGTCATTACAGCTGTCCCTTCCAGTTCTTTCTGCTAAGGTATCATTCTGCAATGTTTCCTCACAGCTTCTCAGAGCTCTCCAAGTAAGGTTGACACAGAAATGGAAAATATAGCATTTCAACCAGAAAGAAGGTGATTCTGTCATAGCTGCTTTCAGAATTTGCACTGCCATGAGGTCTGTAACTATAGGAAATCAAATTCTCTCTCAAATTGAGCCCTTGTGGAGATAAGCAAAGAATTGATTTGCAGAACTAATATAAGTAAGTATAAAATTTATGTAGGGACCAGCAGTTGGCGAAATGGCTATGTCGCTAGACTCCCATGTAGTTGACCACAGTTCTAGTCCTGGACCTGGTGGCTTAAACTCATGCTGGGTGCATGTGCGTGTGTGCCCAAGATCCTGAGAAGAGAATGGAGGAACAGGGATTGTGGTATGGCCATTTCCCCTGGCGAGGGGGGGGGGGGGATATCTTGCTGTCTGCCTCTCTGTCTCTGTCTCTCTGGCGAGCACAATCATCCTATAGCAAAAACCTCTCCCTCCTCCCAAAAAAAACCTTATGGAGTATGGGACCAGTGGTTGACGTAATGACTATGTCGCTGGACTCCCATGTCGACTGCGGTTTGAGTCCCAGACCTAGTGGCTTAGACTCATGCCAGGCATGTGTGTGCACGTGCCCAAGATCCTGAGAGAATGGAGGAGAAGTGACTGTGGTGTGGCCATCCCCCCTGGGGAGGTGATAACTTATGTAGTATATCGGGACCAGCAGATGGCATAATGATTACATCAATGGACTCCCATGTAATTAACTGCTGTTCGAGTTCCAGGACCGGTGGCTTAAACTCATGCCAGACACATGTGTGTCCATGTCCAAAATCCCAATAGGAGAATGGAGAAAGGACTGCAGCACAGCCATCTGCAGCACAGCCATCCCTACTGCAGGGTGATTTCTCGCTTTCTGTCTCTCCAGTGAGCGCACATGCCCTATAGCAAAAAATAAAAACTCTCGGGGGGGAAAAAAAAAAAAAAGACGACTTATTTAGTATAGACTAGAAATATTATGTTTTAAAGTTCTCTCATCCTCACCCTGCGGAGTTAAAACACATTTCAACAAACTGGAACTGTCATTCTAGGATCCCATTCAGACCCTTATTTAAGCACCTATCTTATAACAAAAGCACAACAGAATCAACATTTTTTTCCACAATACAATTGACAGTCCTATTATAACAGGAAAAAAAGGAAAAAACTATAAACCAAGAATTCTAAGCATTACAGATGAAAGTGTAACGAGAGGCCTGCTAAGAGAAATGCCATGTGGGTGGCCCTTCCAAGGTGGTGCCGACACTGAAGGCCACCGAAGACACCAGCAGCTTATGGCCTAGTCTTTTATCTTTCAGGTTCAGAAATTTAACTCAGTATATTTATTTATTAAAATAATTACTCCATTTTGGGACCAGCAGATGGCACAGGGGTTACACCTGTGGACTCCCACATGGCTGGCTGTTTTTGTTTGTTTTTGTTTTTTTAGATTCTTGCTACAGGGTGCATGCGCTTGATGGAGACAGAGACACAAAAAGCAAGAAATCACCCCTGGGGGGATGGCCATGTTACAATCTCTTCTCCTTCATTCTTGGGATTTGGGGCTTGCATGCACAAGCGTCCAGCACGAATTCTAAGCTTCCAGGTCCAGGATTCGAACCGCAGTAGACTACAACATAATCATTACATTATCTGCTGGTAACCTGGCTGTGGTTTGCGTCCCAGACCCAGCAGCTTGAAAATCATGTCCGGATGCGTGTGTGTACGCCTGAGAGAAGAAAGGAGGAGAAAGGGATTATGGCATGGCCACTCCCTCTGGAAATTATTTCTCATTTTTCCCCTGTTTCTTTCTCTCTCTGGAGAGTGCATGTACCCTAAGGCCAAAATCTCTTTAAAAAAAATTATTTCATTTTAATAATTATTATTTTAATCTGACCCTGGGGGGATGGCCATGTTACAATCTCTTCTCCTTCATTCTTGGGATTTGGGGCTTGCATGCACAAGCGTCCAGCACGAATTCTAAGCTTCCAGGTCCAGGATTCGAACCGCAGTAGACTACAACATAATCATTACATTATCTGCTGGTAACCTGGCTGTGGTTTGCGTCCCAGACCCAGCAGCTTGAAAATCATGTCCGGATGCGTGTGTGTACGCCTGAGAGAAGAAAGGAGGAGAAAGGGATTATGGCATGGCCACTCCCTCTGGAAATTATTTCTCATTTTTCCCCTGTTTCTTTCTCTCTCTGGAGAGTGCATGTACCCTAAGGCCAAAATCTCTTTAAAAAAAATTATTTCATTTTAATAATTATTATTTTAATCTGACTAGAGACAGACAAAGAGGGAGAGGGAGAAGGCAAGCTGCCAGGTTCAGGATGTGAACTGTGGTCAGCCATGTGGGAGTCCAAACACCCAACCACCACACCACTTGCGAGTCCCATTATCAGTATATTTATACATATACAGTCAGTCTCTCTCTCTCTCTCTCTTTTTTTTTTTAATAAATTTTTGCTATAGAGCGAGTGCTCTCACTGGAGAGAGGCAGACAGGGAAAGTGAGAACCCCTCCCCGCCTGCCGCCGGCCAGGGATGACCTCCCCACAATCCTCTCTTCCATTCTCCTCTCTGGTATGCATGCCCAAGTTGTTTTTCAAGCTGCCAGGTCCAGGACTTGCACTATGTGGGAAGCAACACCTTAACCACTACACTATTGACTAGCCTAGGACAGCAATGTATTCTAATTGTACCTATAAGAGAAATTTTACTTATAATGAGAAATCAAACTTGGGAGGGTCAAAATGATCCTATCCACAAAAATCACTGAATTCTCTTCAGGCTGGAAACACTACATGGAAAGCCCAATTAAATTAGCCAGTGACAACTGAGCAAGCGCTTCTCTTAGGAGACAACAACACACCAGATTCTCACAGGCTCATAT